ATATGGTGACCTCAGGTGACCTCGGTGACCTTGGGAGGTCACATGACCAAGGTGGTCTATGGCAGCCATTCTATAACTCAGGAACTACTGGGCCGATCGTGACGAAAACACCACCGGTCGATTCAGCGTATGCGATTTCATCAGCCGTTTCGAATATGGTGACCTCAGGTGACCTCGGTGACCTTGGGAGGTCACATGACCAATATGGCTTATGGCAGCCATTCTATAACTCAGGAACTACTGGGCCGATCGTGACGAAAAACACCACCAATCAAATCAGCGTATGCAATTTCATCAGCCGTTTCGAATATGGTGACCTCAGGTGACCTCGGTGACCTTGGGTGGTCCCATGACCAATGTGGCCTATGGCAGCCATTCTATAACTCAGGAACTACTGGGCCGATCGTGACGAAAACACCACCAGTCGATTCAGCGTATGCGATTTCATCAGCCGTTTCGAATATGGTGACCTCAGGTGACCTCGGTGACCTTGGGAGGTCACATGACCAAGGTGGTCTATGGCAGCCATTCTATAACTCAGGAACTACTGGGCCGATCGTGACGAAAACACCACCAGTCGATTCAGCGTATGTGATTTCATCAGCCGTTTCGAATATGGTGACCTCAGGTGACCTCGGTGACCTTGGGAGGTCACATGACCAATGTGGCCTATGGCAGCCATTCTATAACTCAGGAACTACTGGGCTGATCGTGACGAAAACACCACCAGTCGATTCAGCGTATGCGATTTCATCAGCCGTTTCGAATATGGTGACCTCAGGTGACCTCGGTGACCTTGGGAGGTCACATGACCAATGTGGCCTATTGCAGCCATTCTATAACTCAGGAACTACTGGGCCGATCGTGACGAAAACACCACCAGTCGATTCAGAGTATGCGATTTCATCAGCCGTTTCGAATATGGTGACCTCAGGTGACCTCGGTGACCTCAAAAGGTTAACTTTACTTTTTCGCCTATTGCAGCCATTCTATAACTCAGGAACTACGGGGCCGATCGTGACGAAAACACCACCAGTCGAATCAGCGTATGCGATTTCATCAGCCGTTTCGAATATGGTGACCTCAGGTGACCTCGGTGACCTTGGGAGGTCACATGACCAAGGTGGTCTATGGCAGCCATTCTATAACTCAGGAACTACTGGGCCGATCGTGACGAAAACACCACCAGTCGATTCAGCGTATGTGATTTCATCAGCCGTTTCGAATATGGTGACCTCAGGTGACCTCGGTGACCTTGGGAGGTCACATGACCAATGTGGCCTATGGCAGCCATTCTATAACTCAGGCACTACTGGGCCGATCGTGACGAAAACACCACCAGTCGATTCAGCGTATGCGATTTCATCAGCCGTTTCGAATATGGTGACCTCAGGTGACCTCGGTGACCTTGGGAGGTCACATGACCAATGTGGCCCCAGTAAACATGACAACGTCGGCCCGACGTCGGGCCGAGGCTCGGCCCGACGTCGGCCCAACGTCGGTTCAACCTCGGCCCGACATCGGCTGGACATCGGATATGCCCGCATGTTCCGACGTCCAGTCGAAGTCCAGCCGACGTCGAGCCGACGTCGGGCCGAGATCGTTTGCCGAGGTTGACGAGATCGTTTGTTGTTGGACCGACGGGGCCGACGTCGGCATGTTTATTGGGACAACGCGCCAAAAATATTAACCGGCGGCGGGATTCGAGCCCCCCAGTCGCCGACGTCGGCATGTTTACTGGGACAACACGCCAAAACCATTAGCCGGCGATGGGATTCGAACCCCGTGCCATTCAAACGCGAGGCTAGTGCGCTAACCACTACACCACGCAGCCAGCTAACTACTTTGGTGTTTGTTGGGTTATGCCCTTTCGGTCTGACAAGACCATTTCAGAACCGGAAGGATCATAGGATGGAGACATTGGTCTTCTTGGCGAGCACCCTGGGTCCAGTTCATATAGAGTCCCTGGTCCCATTGCTGTTACGTGACACTTACTGGAAAGGGTGACCCCACAATGGATTCATATAGCCACTCTTACACACCTGCACCAGCCACCAACGTTTCCCAAAGTGTCCCTTTGATAAGTGGCACTTTGGCAAAGTGACACTTGCCGACTGGCCTTTCTATATGAACTGGGCCCGGCCCTGGTGAGTTGCCGGGGCTGATGAGCCTGACCAAAGGATAGGCCGAGCAGCCCCCAAGCACTCACCACACCCGGCTACGGGCGAGCTCGGCTTACGGGCAATCCCAAATGGGATAAAGTTTCCCGTCCAGTCCGGATCAGGGGGTTGCGGCGTGGAGGAAGATTTGAGTTTCCTGAGGATATTTTGAATACGGAGGCTCTTTATGAAACATGAAACATGTATTTTATATCATTTTAACGGTCAAGACAGCGGCCGATGTCGGTCCGACGTCGCCCCGACGTCGGCCCGACGTCGGCTGGACCTCAGCAATTGATCTCGGTCCGACGTCGGCCCAACATCGGCTGGACCTCGGCTGGACGTCGGAACATGCGGGCATATCCGACATCCAGCCGACGTCGTGCCGAGGTTGGACCGACGTCGGGCCGACGTCGGCATGCCGGTGCCGAGTTGCCGACGTCACCCCGACGTCGGCCGACGTCGGGCCGACGTCGGCATGTTTACTGGGGCCTATGGCAGCCATTCTACAACTCAGGAACTACTGGGCCGATCGTGACGAAAACACCACCAATCGAATCAGCGTATGCGATTTCATCAGCCGTTTCGATCGGCCCAGTAGTTCCTGAGTTATAGAATGGCTGCCATAGGCCACATTGGTCATGTGACCTCCCAAGGTCACCGAGGTCACCTGAGGTCACCATATTCGAAATGGCCAATGAAATCGCATACGCTGATTCGATTGGTGGTGTTTTCGTCACGATCATCCCAGTAGTTCCTGAGTTAAAGAATGGCTGCAATAGGCGAAAACGTAAAGTTGACCTTTTGAGGTCACCGAGGTCACCTGAGGTCACCATATTCGAAACGGCTGATGAAATCGCATACGCTGAATCGACTGGTGGTGTTTTAGTCACGATCGTCCCAGTAGTTCCTGAGTTATAGAATGGCTGCCATAGGCCACATTGGTCATGTGACCTCCCAAGGTCACCGAGGTCACCTGAGGTCACCATATTCGAAACGGCTGATGAAATCGCATACGCTGAATCGACTGGTGGTGTTTTCGTCACGATCGGCCCAGTAGTTCCTGAGTTATAGAATGGCTGCAATAGGCGAAAAAGTAAAGTTAACCTTTTGAGGTCACCGAGGTCACCTGAGGTCACCATATTCGAAACGGCTGATGAAATCGCATACTCTGAATCGACTGGTGGTGTTTTCGTCACGATCGGCCCAGTAGTTCCTGAGTTATAGAATGGCTGCAATAGGCCACATTGGTCATGTGACCTCCCAAGGTCACCGAGGTCACCTGAGGTCACCATATTCGAAACGGCTGATGAAATCGCATACGCTGAATCGACTGGTGGTGTTTTCGTCACGATCAGCCCAGTAGTTCCTGAGTTATAGAATGGCTGCCATAGGCCACATTGGTCATGTGACCTCCCAAGGTCACCGAGGTCACCTGAGGTCACCATATTCGAAACGGCTGATGAAATCACATACGCTGAATCGACTGGTGGTGTTTTCGTCACGATCGGCCCAGTAGTTCCTGAGTTATAGAATGGCTGCCATAGCTACCACCTTGGTCATGTGACCTCCCAAGGTCACCGAGGTCACCTGAGGTCACCATATTCGAAACGGCTGATGAAATCGCATACGCTGAATCGACTGGTGATGTTTTCGTCACGATCGTCCCAGTAGTTCCTGAGTTATAGAATGGCTGCCATAGGCCACATTGGTCATGTGACCTCCCAAGGTCACCGAGGTCACCTGAGGTCACCATATTCAAAACGGCTGATGAAATCGCATACGCTGATTCGATTGGTGGTGTTTTCGTCACGATCAGCCCAGTAGGTCCTGAGTTATAGAATGGCTGCCATAGGCCACATTGGTCATGTGACCTCCCAAGGTCACCGAGGTCACCTGAGGTCACCATATTCGAAACGGCTGATGAAATCGCATACGCTGAATCGACTGGTGGTGTTTTCGTCACGATCGACCCAGTAGTTCCTGAGTTATAGAATGGCTGCCATAGGCCACATTGGTCATGTGACCTCCCAAGGTCACCGAGGTCACCTGAGGTCACCATATTCGAAACGGCTGATGAAATCGCATACGCTGAATCGACTGGTGGTGTTTTCGTCACGATCGGCCCAGTAGTTCCTGAGTTATAGAATGGCTGCAATAGGCGAACACGTAAAGTTGACCTTTTGAGGTCACCGAGGTCACCTGAGGTCACCATATTCTAAATGGCTGATGAAATCGCATACGCTGAATCGACTGGTGGTGGTTTCGTCACGATCGGCCCAGTAGTTCCTGAGTTATAGAATGGCTGCCATAGGCCACATTGGTCATGTGACCTCCCAAGGTCACCGAGGTCACCTGAGGTCACCATATTCGAAACGGCTGATGAAATCGCATACGCTGAATCGACTGGTGGTGTTTTCGTCACGATCGGCCCAGTAGTTCCTGAGTTATAGAATGGCTGCAATAGGCGAACACGTAAAGTTGACCTTTTGAGGTCACCGAGGTCACCTGAGGTCACCATATTCTAAATGGCTGATGAAATCGCATACGCTGAATCGACTGGTGGTGGTTTCGTCACGATCGGCCCAGTAGTTCCTGAGTTATAGAATGGCTGCAATAGGCGTCAATGCCGAGTTGACCTCTTGAGGTCACCGAGGTCACCTGGGGTCACGAGCTTCGAAACGGCTGATAAAATCGTATCTCCTGATTCGATTGGTGTTTCGTTCGTTCCGATCGGTCCAGTAGTTCCTGAGTTATAGAATGGCTGCAAGGGTGGCGGTCGAATAGTGTTGTCCTTTTTTCATGAGGACGACTTTGACATTTCTTTTACCTTGAGTGAGTTGTAAGTTTTTTGTTGCTTTCATTTTGAAAGTTAAAAATAATTGTTTGCATCCGCCTGTGAAGAATTTTTCAATGCATAGTTTCAATGCATCTAAATATTTTCCAATACTTGCGCAGCTGTTTCATTTGTGGCTCTGGAAAGTTTTCAGCGAATGTTTACAAACCGCTGTTTTCCTTTGGGTGTGTTGCGGGGTGGCGGTGCTGTGTTGGTGTGAGCGTGTGAATCGTGGATCGATAGAAGGTGAAATGTCTCTTATTGCATTGTTCTTTGCCCTAATCCTCTTTTAAGATGTCCAAGGATGGCTTTGGTACCACTGGCGAATGACTAAATTCAATTTGGTCAGGCACCACTTTTTCGTCATCGAGCTCAAGCTCTGCTGGCTCGTCAGAGTCGTCCTCGTGCTAAGTTGATAAATTCTGGCCTCACTTTGGACTTTCATTGGGTTCATTTGTTTCTTTTAATTTGCTGTATGTGTACTGAATCGCTGCTCTCTGCAATACTTTTTGTTGCACTGTTACTGGAGGTTCCTCCCATTTCCATAAATATTAGTGATATCAATTTCGACTTCAAAGAGCCTTATTCCTAGTCGCGCAGCTTTGGATTAGCTTGGTCCTAGGGCTGGCTGTCACTGTCACCAGGAATCAAGGCCAGGGCCTCCCAAACTCTGGAGAAGCACTTATTCAATCCATATCCAGTGTATTCATATTTCAGTCGGGGAAACTATGGTAAAATCTGCTATTTTTAGCAGTCTGCTATTTTTAGCAGAAATCTGCTAAAAATGGGTACGCATGTGACGTCATCGTACCCAAATATAGCAGATTTGGGTATGGCCCCATACAAAAGCAGATCTGCACCCTAATTGAAGCAAATGCGCATCAAATGCCTGGCAGATTCATGATGAGAATAGTGCTGAGAGTGTTCTCTGCTATTTTTGTTCAGATCCGACTATTTTCAAATTCATTATTTGAAAATAGTCGGATCTGAACAAAAATATCAGAGGACATTCTCAGCACTATTCTAATCATGAATCTGCCAGGCATTCGATGCGCATTTGCTTCAATTAGGGTGCAGATCTGCTTTTGTCGGGGGCCGTACCCAAATCTGCTATATTTGGGTACGATGACGTCACATGCGTACCCATTTTTAGCAGATTTCTGCTAAAAATAGCAGACTGCTAAAAATAGCAGATTTTACCATAGTTTCCCCGACTGATTTGATGTGATCATATGCTGTAAATATTATTTTGCTATTCCACCAGAGTCCATCTCCAGAATTACAGAAATTAGATTTATTTATATAATTAAGCTCCAAGAATATGAAGAGCGGCTTACTTGGGCATCCCATGGTAATTGCCTCTTTTTCAGTTTTCACCCTTTAAAAACTAAAGAAATCCACAAAGCAGGACGATAGAAAGAAAGAAGACATCCTTTTAATCCCTGTACTCTAGTTGAAAAGTGAGATCACAAATCAACATGTACAATACTTTATACACAAATGTTTTGAGTTGCATTCAACCACATGTTAAGTCAGGAAAGGTTATTTTATGTTAGGTAAGGTTAGGTCAGGTTTGAGATTAGACTAGGTTTTGCTGTTTTCATCTCTAGTGTCCTTATTGTTCAGCATTATATGATCATACATATACAATGTCCTAGGTTGATATGGTCTGTAACAATATGGTGTGGTTTTTATTCCATTTTGAGCCTAGGGTGCAAAAGGGCAATTTCACCCATGACCCATTCGATTTACATGGCCTTGTTATGCATTGAACATGTTACAACATTTCAGGTATTTGTCTTTGCATGTGACAAAGGTCACACTTAAGTTTTTAACCACATAAAAATACATTTCATCATATTTTCAGTTATCAATCAGAACCTATGTTTTCATTGATCTGCTTAGACAAACCTTGATTATTTGCAGTTTTTGCATTTATTTGCAGTTATTTGCAGCTTTTGCAGTTTTGTGTGATCAAAAATGCATATTGTTGTGTTTGACAATTTATATTTTTCATTATTTCAGGTGTTCTCCCTCAAACATTTTCTTTGACCAAGGATTATACCATTCAAAGTGTACCAGAGAGGTGCATGATGAAGCTCATCTTGGGTGTTTTGTGCTCATTACTAATTGCTGGAAGCAATGGAGGTAAGCATTTATGCTTAAAATGTATGAATTGTCTTTCTGATCATTGTCATGGCATAATGTTAATGCCAATTTAAATTGATTTCAAGAAGTATAGTACTTACCTAATATATATGCCATCACTTTTTTTGGAATGTTGTTATTTCACTTGCCCCAAAGTCTCTGCTTTGCAATTGGGAAAGCATGGTGTAATTTAAAGAAAACTGCATATGCATGCACTCTTGATGGGGTTCCTTGAAATGTGCACAGATGCTAAAAATGTTGCTTGTTTGGTGGATATGTTTGCATTCATCATTTATAAATGCTCAAATTAAATCATTATTATGTACTTTTTTCTTGAATGCAACATTAAATAGGTAAGCATGTAAGGTACAAGGTAGTAGGTACAAGCATAGCTCATTGCTGCTTGGTCTGTTGCTGAGATGTTTCATCTTCTTTGAATAATGCAATGCCTATCATTTTCACAATCACTTTACAAGAACGAACCACATGCGCGAAGACACTGTACAATGACAACTTGATTGAGAAGTGGAATTTAAAATGTCTTGACACGCCATGACCTGATGAGTGATGGTGACGGGAGCACTGGCCGGCCGCGGCGCTTTCGGCAGGCGCCGACGAGGCCGATTACACAGGCTCGTCGTCGCGCTTTGTGGTGGAGAACACGGAGTTTGTCGTGTCGTGCCGCGTGCCCGAGCTGAGTCGCATCAAGTGGCACCGTAACGGTGTGCCGGTGCCCGTGTCCGGGCCCGACTCGGGCTACTCCGTGCGCACCGAGAAGCGCGGCGTGTTCCTCGTCTCCACGCTGACGGTAGCGCGCGCCCAGCACGCCCACTCGGGCAACTACAGCTGCACCACGTTTGTGGACAATGCCCACGAGGTGATCGTGATCAGCGGTAAGCGGCGCACCGTCGCTTGTAACCCTCCCTCCGCACCAACCACCGTGACGGCAACGGAGTGGTATGAGCGTCACTAACAACAGGGACTCGTCTAAAAGGCTTCTTGGGTAGTTGTGGTTTCTCGTCAAGCCGTCCGTCTCGTAGCTCGGTTGGTAAGGTGTTGGAATTCTGGTGGTGAGAGCCCGGCTTCGAGTCACT